GAGAATATCTTAACAATGAAGGCATGGTTTGACTGTTGCTGTGATTGTGTCTAATATTTGTTATTATATTTTCATCATTTATGTGATAATTATGTTCTGAATCGTTGTTAAACCGCTTATAAAATTTGAAAATCTGTAATAAATTAAAACATATTAATTAATTCACACAAAGCTCATTAGCTATACTTTACATTGAAATAATGTAAAATTCTTACAGATTCTGTGATAATATTAAAAATAAACATTTAATAAAAATAAACTTATATTGTATTCTAACTTTTTTTTTAAAAAAATAATATGAATTAATTACAAATTGTATTATATATTTGTAAAAATAGAGAATATATTTTATACATATATCAAGAATAACTTAATATGGGATACCTTTTTCAATACTAAATTTCAATAATTTGGAGGAATAAGAAACATTTTAAAAACTATTAATTAAGTGCTAGATTCAAAAAGACTTTAATCAAAAAGGGAAAAATAATATTACCATACAATACAGTTTTATTAAAAGAACATACAGTCTTACACTAAATATGACTTAAAAATAAATCTACGGTAATATAATATTAAAAATAAGGAGATAATGAATTTGCATGTAATACATGTGTTAAGACCTTATGTACAATCACTGTGAAGAAGAAGAGAGCGAACGGGAATATGAAGGCCAAACAGAAGATGACAAATGTATAGATAGCATATTCGTGAAGATTATTCTTCTGCATCATAAAACCACAGATCAAAAGGGATGTGATTGTTATGGGCAGTACTGTGGCCACAATGCAGGTGATCACTGGATTGGAACAGTTCACTCGCCAACACTCTTCACGTGTTGGGTTTGAAGGCAACGAATTCACTATTATTCCTATCATATCATTATTATATCATTACATCAAATCATCACTCAATCAAGCGATCAGTCAATACAAACCATTGCGACAAAAGTGTTGATTATTTGTGTTATGCATTCCCGTAGTTATGACCGACGATGAAATGTTTGCAATCATTTTAATTGCATTTATTCACAATTATCTGTTTGTTAGATATATTAATTATAAAAATTGCATATTAATTATGAAATTACCAAATAATTCAAGATTTTGACAATATTTTACAGAATATTGTATATTAAATATATATATTCCGTAAAATTAATATTCATATTATGTTTTGTATAAAACATATTTAATTTAAATCAATCAAAACATTAACCAATGTTTAAATGAGAGTTTAAATTTTAAAATATTATTTGTAATTTGTTTATCAAATAAACACAGAATTTGAATCACAATAATGTTTAATATTATTGTTTATACTTATAATGAGAGAACCAAATGGAAAGCACAACAAAACGGTATTTAAACAAATCCGAAGAACTCGTAGCGGAAAACATAGGAAAAAGATTATCGATTTTAACAACAAATTTCAAAACTTTAATAAATTATACTCAAAATACTGTATTTCATATTAAATTAAAACTTATAAATTAAATACCAATTCTAAGTCCAAAATTAGAATTTATTTATAAAAAATATTGTACCGTAATGATTTTTGACCATATAATCGTATAATTATTATAACACACTTTGCTTACATCCATATTATAGCAAAAAGCGATTCAAATAATCGTTGGAATGAAATAATAACTAAAATTTAATTTAAATGATAATCTGACGAGTGATGACAATATTGGTAAAAGCGGTGTACCAACATCAAACCATTATACATTAAATCATTATCGTTAAATAATTAACACAATTCTTCTATAGAATATCAATTTAATATCATTTTTAATTAGAAAATACTAATAAAGACTAATACATATTAAACGTGTTTAATATATTAATTGTATTAAACATTCAAAAT